TCCCTCCATGCCCCACGTCATGGCTTTTCCTCAGCTTGCTGCACCATGGGTCTGTGGAAGCCTACTGCTGCAAAGCTTTTTCTCTGTAGAAAGACCGAAAAACAACAAGGGAAAGGATTAAGCTGCTGAAAGGGATCCGCATGAAGACACAGCTCAGCCACGTAGTGCTTGTGCAGGTGTGAGGGGAGCAGCCCTTCTTCTGCCAACTTTTTGGCAGGCCTCCTGTCCTCAGGATTGTGTGACCCATTGCCAGTTTTTATGTTTTATTAGCAACATTTATTGCTAATAGACCCTTTGTGTGTTCTGAAGAGCTCTTGTACAGGCTATTACGTCCCTTTCTGTTGGAAGCTGAGCTTCGTTGCTCTGCTAACCAGCACAGCAGCTGAGTGAACACAACATAATGTTCATGAATTATTGCAGGCAACGTTCATGTCCTCCCCAGCGGCATGTGGCAGGGTCATCTGCTCTTCACTATTCTGGTCTACCCGGGAAATCTCTTTCAGTGTCTATTTTTGCCTGGTATTTTTGCTTTACATCTAGTGCAGTGGTGACACTTTGGTTATTCGACCATAATTCAGTGTATTAAAACAGCTGTAACTAGGAACATTGATTTCTGCATGGCCTTGAGTGCTGAAGCAAAACTCACCTGACATGAATGGGTGTTTTTCCAACAAAACAGGCCCCAGGTTCTTCAGCTGAGATTTTTTTGTGAGCATTTTGTAGTCCTGGTTCACTGGAAATTGACTTTAGATGTATAATCCCACAAATGCCTGTGCTGCTGCCAGATTTCAGCAATGGTGGGATGAGTGTGTTCTGAAGCACCCGTGGGCAGCCCCACACTCCCGCAGTCGTGCTGGGAACACCGCAGAGCTCAACCAGAGGTTCCTTTTGCTGCAGTGGAAGGTCAGAGGTGGCACAGGCTGGCTCTTGCTTACAATTTTCCCATTGCACTACAGATCTGTGCATTGTAGTATGTCTTCTAATTTTCTGGGCATCCTGGTTTTAAAGGTCTTGAACAAGCTTCTCTTAAGGGTGATTTTGCATCACTTGATAATTCTCACCATTAGAAGCTTCTCAAACCGATATTTCATTTACAGGGTGAAAATGGAGGAAACTACGGTCCCAGCCCTAGAAAACTGTCAGCCTAATATTTTTATAATTTGGAAGATCCTATAAAATTCAGCTCCTACAGCCTCCTTCCAGCTGCTGCTGCCCCAGATTTGCCTGTCAGGAAATCTTGTCCCCACTATCAGAAGCAACTAGTGGGGCCAAGGCATCCTTGATCCACAGTGTCCCCTACTTGGGGGCGTTGTGCTGAGTCCTCCTGTTGTCACACCCACTGTGCCCGTCTTCCGCGCTCGCACGCAGCTTTTTCCATTAGAGTCTGACAAGAAGAAGGAATGGTAGCAACATTCTAAGCAATGCAAGTGTGTGTCTGCATTTATTCTGCCCTGATGTGGGTGATATTGATTGGTTCATTCATGTAAATGTCTCAGCTGTTGTATGTTGCTTTTCTTGCTTATTAATCAAAATAATGCAAAATGAGGGGAAAACAATTTTATGGGAAAAAAAAAAGTGAAATGCAATCATCAGTGATTGAATACAGCCTGCTGGGATATGATGGGGCTGTCTGCCACCCACTAGACATAAGGATACCCACAGTAACTGGGGACAGAGTTGAAATGCTTTATTTTGACATTTTGTATACACAATGTTTGGATTTTTTGTCTCCAAGCAGTGTTTTGAGGGAAGATTTGCCTATATCTGTTTGTTTGGTTAAAAAAAGTGCAGCCAAATGTTTTGTTTCTATCTACTGACACATTTCAGTCAACTGCAAATGTCTTTTTTGGATGTGCAGGGTTTTTATGCCTGGAAAACAAAATGGAAGGAAGCAACTTTAATTTGCAGGCACCTTAGAGTTATTTCTGCTGCATCCAGTTGCGGAGACCTCCCTATATCAGCAGATGCAAAACACCAAGACATGTACATAATATCTGGGATGTGAATACTCCCACTGAACCAATTCACAGGTTGGAAATTGAGCTGGTGCTTAAGTGCCTTTGTGGATTGAGGCTTTAACAATAAAAAATAATACTAAGGAGCAAATACGATCAATTAAAGAACTCCTAATGAATCCAGATATCAGCATCTCTGAGTTGAGAAGGCCCGAATCTGTAAAGGCAGATGATAGAAGGTGTGAAATCCCCTTGTTGTGGTTCTCACTGTGTGGTAGCCAGTGCTCTATTCTGCTTGTATTTCCCCGTCTTTTTCTTTTGGTAAAGCTGAAGAGAAGGAAATTACTTGAGACCCAATTGCACCTCCTGTTCGTTTCTATTACACAAACAGTAGGGTGAATCCAGATTTTTATTTATGTTCCATGGACAAAATTTTGAAGAAAGAAAAAAATGAATGTCTGGAAAACATTACTTTCTTAAATTGATTGTAGTTACCTCAAACCTTGGAAATACTAATTTGTTTTCTGATACAGCTGGCAGATTTTACTACACAGCCTGGCATTGTGTGAGAACATAATGCATGTATTAAAGGTGAGTAACCCTTGAGGATGTCCCCACTGATGCCAGGTGGCCCATATGCTGTCATAAACACTTTTTCTTCTTTTTTTTGTGCTGATTGCAAGAGCCCATTTTGGGTAGAAGATCACATTAGGCTCATTCATTACCTGCTGTGCTGGTCTGTGCATCTGCAGTGCAGCATCTCTGCACTGAGCTTTGGACTACATCCCTGCGTGCTTTCTGATATTCTAAATTGTCTGTTGTGGGTATACAGATCTTCTTCTGTGTGCATCCTGGAACATTCTGCCACAGAGATAAAAATTACTCTTAAGGGTGGCTAACCTTCTGGGGGATATGGTTGTTGATAGCTGATATTAGGCTGTATATATATCATCCAGAGAAATTCCTCAAAATTGATGTTTGTAGCAGAACTATCACTCCTTGTAGCAAAAAAGAAAGAAACTGATGGGCAGATTTTTCTCTATTTTTATGAGTAAATATAAAATCTAATGAGAACTATAGGTGTGACACACTAGTGAAATTTTACAATACCGCTGCGAACTTTAATCTTGGCTTTTATTTTTCTTGAAAGTCTGTCTTTGCCCAAAAGCAAAGTTTCAGGCCTAGGGCTACTGATGACCATCTTTAAACTTGCCTTGTGATTTTGAGCAATACATCACGAGAGCGGTGATGTTCAGATGATACATTACACTAATACATCACAGGAGCACTATCGCTCTCATGATATATTAGTATAATACACTATCAGAACACTATCACTGATGTATTACTCAAAACCACAGTTTTTAACCCTCAAGAATCATCCTCATCTCTAGGGTGAATACACTGAAAGCTGTGGATAATAAGAATAAGCAATCACATATTCAGCTTCTCCAGGACAAGCTGACAAAAAAAAAAAAAAGAAAAGTATTTTTCAGAATATTTCATTAACTGAAACATCCATGTGATTTCATTTTATTCACTGAGCAAATGTTTTTCTGGATTGAAGTTAACACAATATAGGTGTGTTTGAATTTTCTTACAAATAGCCTAAGAAAATCTTTTTTGATTTTTGGATTTCATTATAGACCTGAGCCATGTTTGGAGAGTATATCACTGAGGTGCATGAATTTCAGCTGATTTCCACCTCATCAAATTGAGTCAGGTGCAAGCTGTCTAAATTCTGTGTAAAGCGTTTGGTGCTGTTTCTGATGCAGTTTTTTTTAGGATTTGAGGCACCATCTGAAAAGATCTGGAGATACAGAAATGTGATCTCTCGCTCAAATCGTTTCCTGCCTCTCCTCAATGAGACATTTTGGGCTTTTTTTCCTCAAAAATTATTCTCAGTTATTTTGGAGTTTTTGTTGTTTCTTTTTTGTCTCTGAAGAGAGCGAAAAAGAAAGGGAAAAAGTTGAAAGAATGTTTTGCAATGTTATAGCTGAACTTACTGCATAGAAGCAGATAGATAAGGGGTTTTTTTATTCCCTAGTAGAGTTAGAGTCTTGAGAATCTTCAATTACTGGTCTTACGTGGTATGAAGAGACTGCCATAACCTCCTAACAGAAAAAAAATAGTAATGGTAATAATACCATATCAAGCTGGCAAGGTGACAAGTCGTATATTTGCTTCCTTGTCCATATTTTTGTTCCTTTTCCCCATATCTCATCAGCGCTTGTGATAAAAATATATTGCCCCTCATCTCCCACCCATACTGGGTAGCCGAAAGCTGCCTCTGCAGCTTATGCTCCTTAGCTCCTCTTCTGCCCTGGAGCGATGGCCCTGCCCTCCGGAGAGTGACGCTTATGCCTCAGGCTCTGCAAAACTGGGCTCATCATTCTCGCGCCTCACAGATTTGGGACCTTGGCGCACCAGAGCCCGTGTCCCAGCAGGATCTCACACCACGGGAGCCCTCAGCGTCATATGCAGGTTGCAACCTTCTGGGGGAAAAAGCACAACGTTAAAGTCTTTTTAACCCTGCAAAAAGCAGGCTGTACAGCCCGGGGAGTGTCCTCTTCTGACAGCCTTTCTTCCTGCGTGACTCTACTGTCCCCCCACAGCGTGTGCAGCACAGCACCGAGCCAGGGCTGCCCACGTCCCATCACTGGCACCTTCTTACTCTTGTCGGTTTTGAAGTCACAACACGCAGCTCCAAGGTACATTGTCATTTCAAAGCTGTGGCTAAATACGTCTCTGACTGACAACTATGAATAATTCCACAGAGCCCCTAAACTTCCAGGCATTTCACTCAGAAGCTCATATAATACAGGAGAGCTGCTCTCTCATGTTTTTCATCTTTTATATTCTCCAAAGAGTTGAGATACAGTTATAGAACAGGTTAATGTATTTTCCTCTGAAAATAATGCTGTGGGAGCCCATGCATGGTTGCTTGTATGTGTTGAGAATAATGCTGACAATCCAGAAAAGAAAGTCTTGAGCTTGATAATCACCATTGTTTTGTCTGACCATTGTTTTGTTTCACGATTTCAGCACGTTCACGTCCATGTGCTTCCAAGGAGAGCTGGAGACTTCAGACGGAATGATGATGTCTACGAGGAGGTAAGGGCTGCATGCCATTTCTTGTTCAGAGTTGGCTTTGCTGTTGGAAAATCACCTTAACAATACAGGCCCTGCCTTGAGAAGAGGTAGTTACTGGCATCTCTGCATTGTTATTGCTCTCAAAGACCTTGTGATAGCACACAAGAGAGACCTATACTTGGAATTCCTTGTGAGCTCAAAGTCAAGCAGTTGATATCTTGGGCACTGCAGTCTGTCACCGTGCACAGAGCAAGGTGACATCTCTAGCAATAGTTGTGTTCTCTTGTTTTGAGGGCAGAGGGAAAAACAGCGACCATACGGTTAGCCTGGCATGCAGGGAGCATGTCCTACCCCGGCTGCTAGCCTGGGGTGCACAACCTCCCCTTTCCAACAAGGGAAACCACAGGCAGATCATTACAACTCAGTCACAAGCTGCTTGTTTTTTGCAGGACTCTGCTCAGGCTCTGGACAGATAACATGTAGCCCCAAAGATAACAATTAAAGAGTATATATGCATATAGATGTAATATATGATGTGTGCAGATTGTATGGCAGAGCTGGGGACGTAAACTGTTCCAGCGTGACTGAATTACTGGCTTTTGTTTAAATGAACAATTGTACTGGCATTAACAAAAAGTTTTCCTCGGCTTGACAGCTGTCACAATGAGGTAATGAAAAAAATCTCACTATTGTTAGATTTACGAATGGTTCTTCGTGGGTTTGGTAGGATCCTCTATCTCAAATATGACATCTCCTTTTCTTTCTGAAAGTAATTAATATGATCTTGTTTGATGCTACTGCAGTACCATCTGCTTGAAGGAGAATTCATGATGTTTTCTGCTTTTTTATTTTATCCTTTGTGATATATACATGAATACAACTCCCCACTCTAAAGGAAATAATAAAATGGTAGTGTATTTTAAAGTTTCCTAATGACTTAAACATGCAAAAAGTGGTGAAAAAGTTTGTTATTGACCAGTCACATGAAGAGTAAAGACTGAGAATCCCACTAATAAAGGTAAAACCTTATAATGAGACTGCTGAGCAAAGAGATCCAATGAAGATGCATGCTAGCTGTTTTATATGCTGCGGTAATTAAAAAAATTTAAGTAAGGCAACTTGTAAGGTAATGCCAAAAGGGTTGTCAAACTTTGGAACAGGCTGCCCAGGGCAATAGTTGAGTCACCATCCCTGGAGGTGTTTAAAAGTGTGGATGTGGCACTTAGGGAAACGATTCCACAGTGGACTTGTCAGTGTTAGGTTAGTGTTGGACTCAGTGATCTTAATAGTAATTTCTAAGCTAAATGATTCTATGATTTTTTTTTTCTTTCCCAATGTGTTAAGTAGTTTTAGATGCCGCACCAGCCCACAAACTCTGTTTCCATTTTTGTTGTATTTGCAATTCCATTTTCCTCTATTTTAACACATTTATTTCTCCCTTGTTATATGTAAATACGAACAGGCAAAACTCTGTTAATGAACTAGACTATACATTTAGTGTTGTTTAATGCAAAAGGGTGACAAATGGGTGAAAAATATTTTTATCTTGTTTTCAACTATAGCAATTGTAGGTGTTGCTTTTAGCAGACATGGAAACAAAAATTTTTAGACACAGATGTGATAATATATCTTTTAGCAGAAGAATGTATAGCCTCAGAGTGTAGCCAGCTATTCTGGAATACCACAGAGCTAATATGCTTTTGTACAGACTGTGACTGAACAAATATTTTATTTTTTTAGGATTCAGGAAACAAAACCATACATCACATTTGATGCTATAAAAAGTTCGATGCAAAGTTCTAGCACTGCCTGGGTTGGAGGATGGAGGAGCTTAAACTAGGTTCTATCGTAAGTGGGTAAACCTATTTTGAAAACTACAAAATGGACAAATTATTGAAAATACAGCTGGCTTTGGAAATCATTTTGAACCTATTGTCAGTAAGGCAGAAATCTTTTGATATAGAGGATCTCTGTGTTGTACCAACAAGACATATCCCTATGTCAAGACCTTTTAAAAGATTTAGGACGATATGTAGATCGTGATGGAGCAACAGGCTGAAAATCTGTGAGGGACAATACCATTAGGTGAGATGTAGGTGCTAGAGAGAGCTTTAAATCCATCATCCATGAAATTTGTACTTAGGACAATCCAAAACCTGTTTATAAATGACACTTCATTTCCATATACTTGAGTGGTGGAGTCGCAGGCAGCAAAGATCACCTTCCACAGTCATCCCAACAGCCTTTTCCTTGTAGTATGTGACACAGAGGCTGATCGGCCTCCCTTAAACAATTTGTGAAATTGTAAAAGCCACCCAGACTAAATTTTGCATATTGTGGTGCCTGGCTTAACTATCATAGCTAAAGGCTTTACAGGTATTGGGTGTAATTTTCGCAGATCCTGTATCTCGGCCCTGGTTCAACACATCTATCGCAAACCCCCGTCTATCTGTAAATGCCTTTGAGCTTCCAAGCTCTGCAGATTGCTGATGAATCCCATTGCTCTGTGAGTGTTTGACAATGAAAGGAATGCCTGGATGTTGAGATGTCAATCCTCTTAAGAGAATTCTAGAATTGAGACAGCTAGAAAATACTTGCAGTCCCTTACTGTATGCTTTATTTCTCCGATTTGGTTGGGAGTGACCACTCATCTCATTGAAAAGACACAAGAGAGTGTATCAGGTTGACGCCTGCTTAGCCTGTTTACTAGGCTCTGGTATCTTCAGACATTTGGCTATGAAGCTCTGACATAGCCTTGTCTAAAGCAAGGCTAAAGAGCATACTTATAAAGAGTATACTGTATAAAGAGTATACTTAAGGGTAAGATATATTTTTAGCAGTTGTTTTTTAATAAGGTTGCTGATGGGCACTAATGGCTGCTGGTTTATGGATATATATTTAGAAATTCAATACTGGAACATTAATTGTTGAAAGGATAAAAGAGGGTCTGACACCTATTCCACAAACCCTTCTCTAAGGCATTTCTTGCTGGAATACGTCACAATATTTTAGATTTCTGTACTTCATTGCATATGAAATAAGTTACTGTGTGATTTTTCTAAGATACAGAGAGAATGATTAATAATGAAAAAAAAATCTGGATTGAATGTTTTGGATATATTTTCTCTGCATCTTTACTGGGCTGTTTCTTGGGAGAGTGTTTCCCAGGAAGAGTTAGCTATCCACCCTGTAGGCTCACTGTAGTGGAATGCTGAAGATGCGATTTTTCAGTTCTTAACATTTTTCTGCGATTATTTGATGCCTAATTCTGCAAGTGTGCACATATAGAATCATAGAATGGCCTAAGCTGGAAGGGACCTTAGAGATCATTTTAATCCAGCCTCCCTGCCGCCAGGGACGCCACCTCTCAACTAGATCAGGCAACACATGGGGACTGAACGGGAATCGAACCCGTGACCTTAGCGTTGTTAGCGTTACGCTCAACTGACTGAGCTAACCGGCCCCCTATATCAGAGTTAAACGGGTGTTAAAGGGAGTTTTTTAATAGGATCAGGCCCTCATTTTTTTTTATTATTGCCGAGTTACTTTTGTCATCTACGTCTTGAGTAGGTCTTATTCAGTGATTCACTTTTTTACGTGGACAGTACAATTGTAGCAGCTAAGTATTAGGAAAACTTGTCATTAGAATACCTCTTTATTCCTCTGTGTTTTCTGTTGGATGAATATTTTTAAGTCTATTAATCAAGGAACTTAAAGGCCTTCCTATCTGCTTTGAAGTAGATGAGTTTTGTGCTATTGCAAGGTCATGCCACAGTAACTGATAAGAATTTGGTATGAATGAATGTCTTTGCTGTAGAGCGGCACCCTGTGTTGTTGCAGTCAGCACAAGTACTGCACAGTGGTTGGAGGTCATCATGTCCAAGGCATTCAAGAACATTATCCTGAAATGTCTCAGCAGTTTCATACACTCAGCCATCTGTGGGCAGTCCGCATTCTGCACGTGTTTGAAAAGTCCATAGCACAGCCTGTCCCTTTTCTGCACCGAGTGGTTAGCCATTAGTGCAATATAAATAACATTCATCATCCTTTAGGCTGGCAGGTAATAGCCGTACTGGGCCACAGAGTGTGGGGCTTTCTCAGAAAGGAAGACTGAATCCAAAGTCCGTGATACCGCTGTTATGAGTACTGACCTCGATAAGTTAATTTTGAGGCTGACAGACTCGGATGGGAAAGGGCAGCCTGGCCTCTCAATGAAACCTCGAGCATCCCTGGCATGCAGCGATGTGTTTTGTGGTGCACACCAGGTTCATCCCCAAATTGTGTTTTACTTGGTGGTTGCAGCCTGCTGTAACCGATGGAGCTGCAAAGGTATTCGGAAAGTATTGGGGGCTGTGCGTGCAGGGCAAGGAGTGCCCATCCCCTTTCCAGCCTTGCTTTCCTTCCTGTCTCCAGTTCCCAGCCTAGACTAGAGAGCACTGAAAATACTGTAAAAGGGGAAGGCATGAATGCGAGAGGTTAACCCAGACCCCGGTGTCTCCATCCCCCAGCTGCCTGCCAGATTGCATCATGGACCTCTTGTAATAAGCCTGGGTAAAACTTCCTTCCTGTAACTTCAAGATTTTGTAAAGCGCAAAAGCCAGCAAAAGAATTCACTTCATGCTGTCCTCCTTCCCCTCTGGCATTTGAGCAAGCAGTGAGAGAGTCACTTAGAGAAAGATATTTTGACTTAGTGATCTCATTCAGCACATTATGTTAAATCATTTCAGCAAGAATACCTATTAGTAATCATTTCCAATTCCAGGGAGGATGAAGGAGGCATTTTGGCATGTGACTCAAGAACCTGCTGGGCTGCTTCTTTAGGCTGGCAAAACAGGGGAACCATGGTGAATTCGGAACTTTAGTCAAACAAGCCTGAAGTTTAATTCTCCATGAGTGGCTTTGACTGTGACCTGCCTTCACTCCGACCTGCCGACAGCGTCTCACATGCTGCTGGGCACAGAGCCTGGCAGAGGGCTCAGAAGGGGCACGGCTACACTGAACTGTTTGGGCTGCTTCCTAAC